TAGGAGTTTTGTTAACTCCAAAAGCAAGGGTGAACCTCCATCCTTTAAAACCGATGGGGACAGCCCGTCGGGGCCGGAAGCCTTATGCCGGTTGAGATAATTTATTTCTCGGGAAACCTCCATTTCAGACGGAGGACTAAGATCAACAGGCCGTATTTGCCCAGTCAAAATGGAGAATGAAAGATCAGAAGTCGATGGGGATCAGTTGAACTGAGCCTTGATGGTTTCAGCCCATCGATCAAGACGACGTTGCTGACTGTTAATCACTGTGCCATTGGATTCCTGAAGTACCTCACTTAGGCCTACTTTCCTAGGACCTGTCTTCCACCACCTCTCGCGGTCATTCCTCAGATGCTTGATGAGTTGGCGCTCAAGGGATTTGCACGCCGTGTCATAGGGGACTTCAGGAGGAAGGGTTCTGCGGGCGTCCAGCAGGTCGAAGAGATCCATCGTTTGTGCTTTCAACCTGCGCAAGAGTCCGACGTTGTTTTAATGATATTTGCATAGCTTCCTTGATTTGCTTCCAATGTTCATTGAGTACTTCAACTGGTGGTTGAACTGACAGGCGATCGGAGAGTTCCGCTTCGAAGGCTGATTTGCATCCATCGAGGACACTGTTTCGTGGGTTGACAGTGGCTTTCCTGCGGTTGTTGGCCAGGCGTAGAGAGAATTTGGCTCTTAACAAGGCGTGGTCTGTATCCAAAGGTGTTGATCAGTAAGAGCGGAAGTCTTGAATTGATCCCCTTCAGCGGTAACTAATGGCGATGTAGTCGATCGGGGTCCAGCGTTGTACACAGGTTGACGGTTTCCATGTAAGATGGTGACATTTCTTGTGTGAGATGTTCGTGTTTGACAAGAACAATCCGTGGTCTGCGCAGAGTTGTAGCAGACGATCTCCGTTGTCCGTCCGGTTGGTAGGGATTGCGTAGCGTCCGCCAAGAAGCCTTTCTGATTCGTCCATGGATCCCACTTAAGCACTGAAGTCTCTGGCGACTACTACGACGTCCATTGATCGAACACTCTGGAGTAAATGAGAAAGATCTTTGTAGAATTCATCCTTGTTCTCATCATCATCATCATCATCATCAATGTACAGCGTAATACAGTGAAGCGAACTTCACTGATAGCTGCCAAACTCATAATGCATACAAGATAAGTGAGAATGTGTAAGGAGGACAGGGGTTGGGCCTATTTTTAGGGTCGGGAAAAGAAAACGAAC